GGGTTTCTTTGGGGCGGTGTGCTGAGGCTGCCGGGCTGTGCAGCCCCACTGCTGCCCCTGCGCCAGGGGCACGGGTCCCGCAGCAGCGTCTTGGCTTAAGCGGTGTCCCCAGGAGCGCGGTGTTAATGTTTTCCAAAGGTGTTTTGCTGCAGGTTCTGCGACATCAATACTTTTAAAGGCAAAGCCATTTCAGTTTCAGAACTGTGAGCCAAGTCCCTATGAGGCAAACAGGTGCAAAGCTACCTATTTCTGTGTTCTAATGATGCAAACCCATTTGTTTCTGAAGTACAGAGCATGAATAGGAACAGTGATCCTTCCATCCTTTGTGCTACCCCATAAATCTGATAAGTTTGTAAGCACTGCTTGACAGGTTCGGAATTACAGAAGTAAACTTTAGCAGACCCTGCCATACAGATGCACAGACTGAAAACTTAAGACAGTAGCCACAAAAGTCTCGCAAAAGATCAGGATGTCTTAAGACTGGCAAAGCGTAGTGAATGGCTCTGCTGGCATACGGCAGACCAAAGAAGAGGTGGAGACCAGAGAGTTGCTCTATTTGCAAACTAGTTCAATGCAGCTGAACTTGGATGGAAATATTTTTCCTTGTAAATCCTTCACTGTAACCAACTATGATTCCATAGGATAATTTCCTGTGTGAAGTTTAAGGCTTAAATAGTTGTCCAAGGTAATTAACCCTGAGGCACTGTAATGTTACACATAAACATTTGTGTGAATGTTCCTGATTACAATCTTGAATAAAGGTTTAAATAAAAAAGCCAACTATCTGTTACACTATGAGCACCAAACTTTTTTCTTTTTTTATTCTTTTTTTTTTGGCATTCTGTCTTTTAGTCTGGAAATACATGTGCCTCAGGTCTGACTTGGAGGAGTGACAAGTGTAATTTTAGAATAGTCTGGGATTGCGGATAAAAAGCATGGGAAGTCACTAGAGACTGAGACGGCAGTTTCAATGCTTTTTAGTTTTGATTATGGTAGTGGTGTAACCACTTTTATTGAGTATTTTTATGGATGACCAAGTTTGCTCTTCCTTCTGAAACTTCAGAAGGAAAGATTCTGATTTTCTTTCTGTTTTTTAAAAGTTTTAGCATTGATTTTCAGCAATGTTCACAATTTCATCTAAGATTTTTTCCTCAAATGAGACTGTCCTTCATTTATATGGATCTTGTTGCCTTTTCTATATATCCTGCAACTTTTCAACTGTCAGTAGGTTTTTAGTGAAAAAGGATTTGTATACATGTATACGTATAGATGCTAAAAAATTGTTTATATGTATGCATTCATAGCAAGTACACTTAAGGCAGATTTCTAAAATAATTTCTTTTACAAAGTCTGCATTTTTTAACAGATCTTTGAATCCAAATGTGAGAACTGACATCTCTGTATAATCTGATTTTCTTCTATTATTTAATGCAGGTTCCTGCTATTCAGCAGAAAAGAACTGTAGCATTTCTAAACCAGTTTGTGGTTCACACAGTGCAGTTTCTCAACCGCTTTTCTACTGTTTGTGAAGAGGTATGTTTATCATTTTCCCAGCTGTCACTTTATACAATGAAAAATAAAAATCCTAGAAATGAGAACCTTAAATATTTTTGCTGCAGCAATACTGGTAGCTTAAACCAAAAAAATGTAGCCTGCTTTCTGTTCAAGGTTTCTCTTGAGTAAGTGCTTAAGACAGATTTTTCTCCCCAAGATATCCACATGAGCTGCTGATTATACCACACTTAATCCTCTTGTTTCCTTAGACTTTTGTGTTTGGCACGGTCTTTGAACTTTTTGATACATGGAATTTGTTCTGAGCAGCTCCATCTGTGGATATCATCGTGTTTTGGAAGAAGGATGCCATATTCCTATGGTGCTGAATCCATTTTGACAGTCAGTATCCCTCTTATCTGTGTCCTAGGGTATTTCATCAAAACTTGCTTTCAGATTTTACCACCTTTAATTTTAAAGGGTGATACACTAAGCTCTGACTGTAAATTCTTCTGACGTGGTAAAAAAAGACATGTTTGGCAAGCGATTAGTATGGAACATGAAGCACTTAGTTTTAGTGTCTTGTAAAAAAGAGAAAACCAAAGATATTTAGTGTTAATAAGGTTTTGTGGTGACTTTAGTGTTGATAGAAATATAGCAGACTGACAGGACTGGAATTGTCCACTGAAGGGGACAAAAGTGCTTCCTCCCTTGTAGAAAGGGTGTTTTCTAATGTGGCTTTGAGCTTAACCTTTTTGTCATTAGTGGTTATTTTGTAACTGTTTGCTAGTTTATTCCACAAAGACTGCTGTACAGCCCTAGCCAGCATGGCTAGGGCAGCTGTCAAATGCAATTAGACTAAGCCCTGTAATCTGAGAATTTCTCTTATTTGTTAGTGAGGTTTAGAGCCAGACCCGTGACAAGTATGAAATTTTGCTGTCGCATCAACATATGGAGCTTCAGAGGAACAAGAGTAATTTTTTTTCCGAATTCTTAAACTTACTTTAACTTGATACGTGGGGCAATGTAACTGCTTGGTGATGCTGTTGTCAGTTGTCCAAAACTCGATCATCACATGATCTCAATATTACCTCTTACATAGACACTGTGGAAATCAGAACATATGTATTTAAAGCCATCCTGGGCATGCAGCAACGCTGTGAAGTCTACTTAATAGAATGGTTATTAATTAGCCTAAATGTGTACTTGCCCAAGAGGCTAAATAGTTGCTTTATGAACTCCTTGAAAAGTTTTTTATGTTCTATGAATTTTTATGAATGTATTTTTATGAATGTATTTTATTATGAAGTACAGAAGTGTTTTTAGTGTGAACGGTCCCAGTGTAAATCAACAGAAGCCAAGAAATTCAAAATTAGGGCTGACACCATCTTAACTCTAAATTTCTTGGCTCTTGTCTCGTCAAACTGACCCGTAAAGTTATATAACTGTCTTTTGTACATCTTTCCTCCCCTTTCCCCAGCTACATGTAGAGCACATAGTTCCTTTCAGCAGAAACTAACTCCTCTTCATGAACAAAGAACCATCTGTAAACAAGTCAGTGCACTATCCAAAAAGACTAACTCCTGTCAGTCTCTTTTTACTTTTCTAGCATGTTGGCAGAAACTGCCATTTTCTTAGGGTGTTAAAGTTCTGCTTCAGAGCCAGGCAGTCTTGCCAACCTGCCAGAAAGCTGTCAGAGTGGTATATGTCTGCCAGCCAGCGTGCTAGCCAACTTCACTTGGACAGGTCTGGTGGAGTATGGTAGTGATTAGTTAAAAGAGTGACAGTTCTTACAGAATAATTCAGAAAAACTTAGGTTGTATTTAAAAAGGAAAAAAAAAGTTGTCAAAATTTGACTGAGGTGCACCTGGAGCATATAAAACTCCTGGTTAGTTCTGGTTCACTGTGCATTTTGACTGTATAGGACTTTCAATCACCTGCTGTATTCTTCATCAGATGTTTCTACTTTGCTTTTGCTTGGTAACATACACACACTTCATATCTTTTCATCTTCCACATTTGGAAACATCTTGGAAGAAAGCTGTTTTGGTAACTGCAAGAGTACAGTGTGTCTACCTTTATTCTCCAGTTGCCCAAAGTAATACCCTGTTTACTTTGGCTTTCTTTTGTACATCATCTGTCTTCATTTCTGTCAGTCATTATCTGGCAAAACTAACTGTCTAGTAAAATTATTAAAGATTTGAACCACTGTAGCTACTGTACTAAAAAGGGATGTCATTGCTGCACTCATTTCATAATGTTATTTCATTTACATTCTACTCCACCTTCAGCAGGTAGGAGACAAAAATGATTTTGTTTGGGTGAACTGGTTTATAGGTACAAGTGTCTAAGGGAGTCTTTTCACATCCTAATTGTTTTCTATTTTAGAAATTGTCAGCACTCTCTCTCCGTATCCAACAAATTGAAACAACACTCAATATTTTGGATGCAAAGGTTTGTATGTATACTGAGTTTGTCTTCTAACAGCCTCCTAAACTACATGATTTAACTTCCTTTTCATAGTCTGAATTGAGCAAATAAGTTTTCATAATGACTTGAAGGAGCTAATATGAAATGCTCACATAGCAAACTCTCTCTTTGCATACCATGCCACTTACATTGTGTTACATTTGAACATGTAGTTGATATGGAAGAAGGGAACCAACAGCACATAGAGGAAATGTTGGTTTTATCTTTGTTAAGCATAATGAACAGGAAAAGAACTCTCAGATCTTGAAAGGGCAACTGAACTATGTGGCAGTTTAGTTGTCTTGATTTTGTTGCAGTGCTTGGTTTTAAGAAAATGGAAAGAAGTTTCCCGGTATTAAAAATATGAAACATGTGGCAGGGTTGCATTATGAAATAGCATCTGCCATGCAAACTCTAATAAGAAACTTTTGCCCCTTTTGTAAAACGAAAGTATCTTTGTAGGTGTTACTGGACTCTGAGGATTTCAACTGGTATAAGTAACTAGGGAGATGCCTTGTAAACCTTTAGATATTGAAATGTGACCTGAATTGAATTTAAGCTAACACAAATGTGTCTGATGTATCTTCTTTAGCTAAAATGAGAAAAGGATATACTCTATAGTCTTATATTATCATTTAATTTGCTAAAAGAAAAAAAAAAATCCTAAAAAACCACCCCCTGTAAAGTTTTAACCAGTCTTTCTTTCAGTAATGGCGGAAGCCATTTCGGTTGGCTGTTCTGGGAGCAGGGGTAGGCCAGTTTGAAACCATTCATTAAGATCTCTGTAATAGTACAAACAGTGCTTGCTAACTCATTTATTTCAGAATATTGGAATTATTAATAATGGTACTTATAGCAGAATTCTTCATAATCATGTTAAATAGGACTTCCTTCAAATAGCTATGTGGCATATTTAATATCCACTCTCAGCATTTCCTTAAAAGAGAGTGAAAGATGTAGAAGATCGCAAAATCTGTAACCAGTCACCCATCTGTTAGGTAGTAGAACTGTTCTTGTCATGATGTCTTTCACTGTAGATGAAGTAGCAGAGAAGATGGCACAGCTCTGGTGTGGTTGGTAAGTGGAGGAACAAAACGCTGGGAAGATACTGAAGCCTTTCCTGCACTGCATCCCTGTGTTAGCAGTGACAGCTCCAGTGGTGTGTTCTGGGTTTTTTGATGTAGAAGCCACTTGAACAAAAAAATCTTTTGTTGTTGTTTTTTGCCAATCAAAATACCAAAACCAGTGATAAAAAGTTACCATTTTTACTAATGTGAAACCTACCTGGGGAATATGTAATCAGCAGCATATTGCAGATTTTATTGTCCATGTAAACTTATGATATGCTCATTGCTTACTTGATGATGTTTTGTACATTCAGTTATCCTCTATTCCTGGCCTAGAAGATGTGAAATTTGAAGTGTCCAGTGCAAATATGAACAGTGTTACAAATGGTCCTGTGGCACAAGCTACTACAGATCAACAGACAGCTGTATCACCTCAATCTGGCGTAAGTAATGAATCATAACTAGCACTGAAGGAATATACCTCCCTGCGTCAAGTTTCTAGTCTCATTTGAAGTACGTGGAAGAAACAGGTCTATTGGAAGAGAACAATCAGCTGTAAAGGTCTAGAACTATGTTTTTCACTAATGACTGTAGATGAGAATAATCTTGGTGAAGAATAGTTACATATTACCCTTAAATTATAAATTTTATGGATTGAAATCTCTCCGTGCTTTGGGTCTGCATACCTAACTGTTAAAGTGTTATCTTCTTTATATACAATATAGAACAATATACATGAAGAAGGGTTACAGAAAATGGAGGTTGTAACAGAAAATGTCAGAACTGTGGCCAAGGATCCAAGATATGCCAGATACCTCAAAATGGTACAAGTGGTAAGTCAGTTCTTTTATCATTCTTTGGGTACTTCGCTTATTTTTAGGTGGAACGTCACACACGGGTGTAAGTGAACATTAAATGTCTGGAAATGTCTGTAATTATACTGCAACAGTAATCTTTAAGATAGGATAACATCACAATATTTGTAGGACATCTTCTCTAAGTAGAGAGTAGATATAATACATTCCTTTAGACAGTTTCATGCAAGATCTTTCTACAAAATTCTTCCAGTATAACTGTGAACTAAGGTGCAAAGATGTGTAAATGCAGAGTGATATTAGCTGGAGTCACAGAAGATGCCACTGAAAGTGTAGTTATTCTGGCAGAATTAGTGTCATTCCCTACACACAGACATGAGTACAGTTTGGATTTGCTGTAGGGTGCAAAATGCAAGTTTGCTACTATAGTCCAGAGCAGAAGTATTTGATATTTCTTTAAGTTCAAAATAGAGATATAAGAATAGCTTCACTGCTTCATTCTACTTCAGTTTCCTGTTATTCATGATGCAGGCTTTGTTTGTCTCTTTATCTGTGGGCTATTCTATAGGTGAAAAGGAAATAAATGAATTTAATCCTAATATTTACATGTGTGAAAACTAATGAAGGAGTGGAAAGGTGAAATGTCACTCTTGGTGACATTCTTCAAAATCTCTTTTCACATCCACAAAATTAAAAATTAAATTGGAAACAAAGCAAAAGATCTGTCTTTATTTTCAAGCTGTCAATGGAAAATTTCTATAAAATAATATATATTTCCTCTAAAATATATATTATGATTCTAGAAAATACGACTATTTCTTAGTAAGAAGTTGCTTGTGTTGACACTAACTTCATGGTTTCACTCCCTCTTCAGAGCAATTATTACGATTGGTGTGTTTGATACTTCAGGTGATGTTCCAGACCTTATTCTTCATTTGAAACAAAAATTGACACCTTATGGGTAGCTTATTACAAACCATTTGGAAAACCTAGCAGTGGGGTAGTATCAGAGAATGGAATGCTATGTTAGTGTATTGATTTAATGCCAGACTTCCAAGTGGATGTGAAAATGCTTGATGGTCTTATTACTTTGACTTTTCCTTATTGGTGATTTGCTAGAGTAGTGAGATCTCACTTTCCACATTTATCCTTTGTACTGGCAGTTCCTGGTGACTCCTCTGCCAGTTGTAAACAGTGTGGTAGGAAAGTCAAACTAGCATACTGCAAATTAACGTGCGTTTTTGTATTTGCCAAACTTGTCTTTTTGTCCAGTCAAGTATTTCAGTTAGCGTAATTTTTTGCCCAAATTAAGTTACTAGCTGAAGGTTTGTTTAAACTGATCATTTATTTCTTGTAGTATTTATAGTATTTAAGAATTAGCACCATGAAGAGATAGTTCTTTTATATTACATACAGCTGTTCTGTGAAATAGTAACATACACATTTTGATGGAGTACAGATGAGCATATTAAATTCATATATTTTTTTAAAATACAGAACAATAATATTCAAGCAAACCTTACAAAAACAGTATCATATTTGCTACAATAAATGTTGAGGACACTTCTGTTGAGAGTGTGATAGGAGAAGTGTGTGATTTCAGATGAACTTCATGTTTGAAGTACAAATACTCTTACTTGGTTCTAAACACCAAACGTGACTGCACAGATGCCAAGACTGGCCTGATATAGATTGATCCTTTCTTTAAGGGACTGAAATAAAAAATAAACATGGAGAGTGCACTAATCTTCAGGAATTGCCAGCACTGATGGTATGTGACCTCTTTCTACACTATGGAGAACCAAAACCTATTTTGCAACAAGATTGCTGCTTGCACTGTGGCTTCTCCAGGACTTGCACATCTCCTGCGCTGCAGGACCAGGCTGGGAGTAGGGCTGGGGTACAGTGTGTTGAATGTGTAGTGATTGGATTATTTCAGGTCGTAGCTGGACAGAGACAAATGCAATGGAAATTCAGCACTGGCTCCTATGTTAGAATAGCACACCTGTGCCATTTCAGGGGGCCTGTGTGCTCAGAGTAGTTTTGGTTTAGGTTTAAAATAGTTGTCTGTTTTATTTTAGTAAGATTTAGGGTCACAGAAGTATTGGGCTATGATTTTCCGGTTTAAAACTTCTGGAAGTATGAAAGATAAAGTAATTATAATGTCCTAATTGTATTATAAACAGATACAGGTACAATCTTACTTGTTTTCATTCAGGAAAAAAGTGCACTGTTAAAGGACATTCTGATTAAACTTCAGATACGTTTTGTAAATCTGTGCTATGTGAGGGTGTACCAAGATGGGGTTTTCTTACATATATTGATGCACACAACTTTGGAATAAAACTCTTCTCCAAGTATGAATGTGCAAACATAACAGTTTCCAGTCCATTCTTACAAGTTTCTATACCAAGTTCCCTTTCCTTGAAAGCAAATACCCTTTGTAATGTAAATTAGTTGTGAATTACTGAGAAATTCTTTATTACAATCTTAATACCTTGCAACCGAGTCACATTTTTGCTGATATGCCTCTAAATTGCTAAAGCTACGTACCCGTGTGCTGTTACAGAATCATCATGCACAAGTCTTGATTGTGATTCTTACTGTGAAACTGCATAAGGAAAACACAGCAAGACAGCTAGCTTAGCTCTCACTTTGCCAGGTTAGCTACTACGGCTGTCACTTGTACCACATGCTTCTCTGGAACATTAGTCATGGCTGCCCTTTATTTTATCACTATTTTACTTACTTTGGACATAAGATATTTGCCCTGTGCCAAAAGAATCCAGCACTACTTTTCATTTAGGCTGTGAGGCCTCTCCTGACTTTCCTAGACCACCAGTAGCTTTGTCCCTTGGAAATCAGCAATTGTATCCCCTTTGTTATTTTTCTTTTCCTCCTATCTTGGCATGCTGTTGTACAGGTGGTGTTTCTGATGGTTTGCAACAGGGGATGGCAAAGCAACAAGTTGTCCTTGAGCAACTCCAGTGGAAACACAGGAGCAGTTTGTTGGAATGTATCTCATAAGACGACGTGGGTCAAAGTGTTCTTGCATCTGCAGTCCAAGATGAGGGGATTTTTAGGTGTTGCTGAATAAAATAAAGTGCAGAAGCTGTGGAAGGACTTGCAGTGAAAGGAAGGAATTTTTTTAACACGTACATAGTTGGCTTAAATCTGTCCACATGTCATAGAAGATTCAAGCCTGACTGTACAAACAGTTGTATTCAGAGGAACCACTTTTAAATTGTGCTTCTGTTCTTATGGACTGTTTGCTTTTTTCCGCATGCTTTTTAAAGACTTTTCCAATTTTTAGCAATGTCTTAAGATACCCATCCAGATACCCACTGTCCTGATTTTCCTTCCTTTTTGGCTGTACCTTCAGCATGTCTAAGTCTTCTTCATCTTTCTAGCACAAGTGTTCTCTGCTGTCTTTGTGCTACTTCGTGCTTTCCTCACATTCTCATCCATACACGTAACTTCAGGGTCCTGGTTTTGTCTGCATGAATTGCAAATTTATCTGTCCATTCCTGATTCTCTCCCTGCAACTTCCTCTAGATGTTCTGCCATAAATATAAGAAAGATTAAAAGGGCTTTTCATCTCTGTCATTTCTCGTTTCTAGGTTCATACTGATGGCAACTGAGATTATTGTTTCATGTTCTTGTTCAGCAAGTGACATCCATAAATTTGTATGAAAGTATAGTATGGAAGAAGCTGTAGAATTTAGTTCGCCTGTTGTGTCCAGTAATTTCATATTATTCTTCCTCCTCCCTACACAGGGTGTTCCTGTAATGGCAATACGGAACAAAATGATTTCTGAAGGGCTAAATCCAGATCTTCTTGAGTAAGTAATTTAAAACTTTCAGTAGGGCTGGAATGCAATCGTGTGCTTGAAAAAATTGGGAAAAAGTGTGCTTAGAAAAGCTTGTTTATAGTATTGTGAATATAAATTATCAGCATTAAAATAGGTTTTCAATTCTTCTGTGAAGAGCATTTTTAGCAGTTTATAGGTCTGAAGAGGGCCATCAGTACCAAAGGAGGAGGGATGCAATCTGAAGTATGAGATGTCTTTTCAGTATTATCTAGTCCAAGGCAAGGCCCAGAAAATGTAAAGACTGGAATATAAATGGGTGGCTACTGCACCCTCCCAAACAGAAAGTTGCAGGACTTTACCATTCAGACTTGGAGAAAATGGAAGGACTTTTTCCAAGCCAAGCAGAGGTTCAAGGAGAAGGATATAGCAGTGACAAGGTAACCTTTAACAATGTGCAGTTACTGATGAGGAAACAAATAATACACCAGTAGCATTTTCATTGTACTGAGTAGAGTATGAGGTTTTCTCCCAGATATTTTCTTTCAACACTTCAGTAAGAAAATGTTATCATTGTAGAGTAATAAGAAAAAACTCTCTTTTAAATTGCTGGATGCATGAGGGACAACACAGTCGTTTACAGATTCCCTCAGTAGACGGAGTGTACAACTTGATGTGAGTATTGACAATGTAAATTGAAGTCAGCAGTTTGAAATTGTGACTGCTGATAGAGCTAGTCTGATGTGAAAACTATTAAGAATAGATACTTATTTTCAAAGCTACTTACATGGTCATAAGCATGAATTTTAGGCTTATTTTACATTTGACATGTAATTTAGTTTTACTGTACTATTTCACAGAGTTTGTTAAACTGACAAAACTAACTTTTATTCTTACACTAATAGCCACTAAACTGTTTGAAACACTTTTGCATCCTTTTCAGGAACCATCAGTGTATTAGAAAGTTCGCTTCTCCTTCCCATTGACATCTTTTTACATTTTGGAAAGGCTTACTCTGAAACCAGCAACTTGTTTAATAAAATAAATAAAAATACAGGGAAACTGAAGTATCATCGTATGTCGAGTCACTTAAACTCCCAGCTACTTCCTTGTGTCTAAAAAAGCTTAAAGTAGTTATTACTCATTTGATATTTTTACTAATCAGATGAGAAAAAGGAAAGATAACACAAATAAGAATCAGGGTTATTAAACATGGTTTTACTATATGTGTGCTAAATGTGTTGTATTTTCTACTCTGCATTTCTGGTCCATACCTTTCTGTACCTGCTGCTGTTTCTTCATGTTGGGATGGAATTTTATAGTAGATAAGAAGAAGATAACAGGTTAAAATTTCAAAAGCTTCTAAAATAACATCCTTTCAGATTGTCTGTTTTGGGTTAGGATAGAAACGTTATTCCTGTGGGTTGGGGCTCAGGGAATATATTTGGTGTTTGGTCTCAAAGTTCATCTTCAAAGATTCTGTGCAACAGTAATGCTTGAGCAGATTTTCTTTGAAATGGTACTGGTTTTGAAAACTGTATAGCAAATCTACCTGGTTAGAGAAAGCTAATTATTTGGCAAGGTGAATAATGCACTAATATTTTAATCAGGAATGGGTGACCCTTCTTCTAATTTTCTTGCTTTCTTGTGTTAATATCAGACTCTTTTCTTTATATTGGCAATTCACACCACGTTTTTTTGTGCCTTTGGATTCCTTAGGCCTTACTGAGTCGCACTGAAAATTAGGAAAATATACCTATTGCTGTATGCTCGGTTTCTTACTGCAGACCCTCCCAGCTACTTGCCAGTGACTGAGTGTGGGTTTTTTGTGGCTGCAGAGGTGCTAATTCTAATAACATGGAGTTGTTTGTACTCTCTTCCTTTGGCTGTTTTACTTCTGTTACCACTCCTTTCTCAACATTTTACAGAGTTTGATAACTGCCTGTTTTATCAAGCTCCCAATTTACCTATTTTTAACTTAACGTTTCTTATTCTTCCTCTGTTGCCTGTCTACAGTTCCAGGAGAGTTTGTCCTGCTCTCACAAACTAAAGGAATTCATTCCCATCTTCCTCTTCTTACTAGAGGAGGGTTTTTGCGCTGGTCTCTCCAGATCACATGTCTTTGTACAGCTTCTCTGTTTTGTCATTACCATGGCAACAAAGAATAATATTGTGAAGTGGTATTTGCATGAGAAAGCAAATGCTTTCTTAATTTATTTTAGAGGTGTGCTGGGGTGAGGGAGAAGGCTCTCTTACAGTTCTTTAATGCACTTTCAACTTCTTATTTTGCACCCAAAGTGTTTAGAAGTAATTCAGAGGTACTTGAGGGATATCCAACAGAGAAATTATAACAAACAAAACTAAAGATGGAAAAGAAATTCTGTGGCATGACACACAGAGGTAGACCTGAGATAAATAACAATGGGACAAATAATACAGTTGTCAGTTTAGAATATTTGTAATATTTTATCAAAAAGAGAGCAGTTAACTGTCATACTCAAAGCTAGTTTCTGCGAAGATCATTCTTCCCCTTCCTGAAGTATAATTCTGTTTATGTTTTCTACCTTGATTTCAGAATTTACCAGGCTGAGTCTTGCTTCTATTGTCAAACTCCTTACATATTTAGGAGGGAGACTCCGGGGAGAGACAGCATCTTCAGTCAGTAGTGTTAGTTAGTCTTTAGGTGGTTTACTTCTCACCCCTTCATTCCCAGTAGATTCCCTGAGCTAATGTTTTGACATGATGTTAAGATCTATCTTAAATATTCTCTTAAAAACTAAATACAAGAAGTCTGATCATTTATAGTCAATAAAAATCCCGTGGCTGCTCTTGCATGTCAGATTTAACCCAATGTTCTAGCCAAATTCCACTCTGAGTAATTCTTTTTTTCTTCTCTAAATTATCCCTGCAGTTTTAGTTGGATACAATATCGTTCATTTCCTGTCTTATTTTTTTCATGTACTATTTACACTACTTAATGGTGTACAGCATGTTCCCTTCAGCCCTTGAACCTCTGAAAGTTGAGAAAAAAAAAGAATCACTATTGCCTGCTTTCAGCTCTTTCTACAAGTGTGTGCCACTTCTTAGTGATCTGTCATTCTTTCCAATAACCTCAAAGGTGTGCATTCAAACTGATGTCTACAGAGTTTTGATGTCCAGTGAGTAATGGTTCCTAGTTGTTTATTTTCCAGCTGTAAGTGAAGCAATATCAATAAGGTGCGACTTTGTACACTGTTTAGACTGTTTAGACAGTTAATGTGCTAAATATTTGTTAACGCGTGCAGTTGTGGTGAAAGGACGTTAGCATTGCGTGATTAAGTTGCTTGTGTTCTCAGCCTCCTTCTATGATTTACAACACAGAACACTTTTGTTGCCTGCAGGACCCCAGATGCCCCCGTGCCTGCCTGGGCAGATGATGGGAAAGCAGAAGAGAGTTCTGATAGTGAATCTTCATTTAGTGACTGAAGAGACTCATTTTGGCCTTTGGTAACCTCTGTTAAATGCTGATGTGTTTGGAACTTCAGCAGACAATGGTTTTCTGTGAGTCATGTGGGTGACATGATTTATCAGACAGCATTTTTAAGAACTAAGATCCTTCATGTTCTTTCCCAAAGAGTTTGAACAAGCAGTGTGTTTCAACCCAAACCTTTCCACCATGAAAGTTAATTGTGAGATCCTTGCATTTTTTATGCTTCATCGTTTCAGATTCCTTTCTGAATCTTCTGAAATTACTTTGTAAGACTCTAAAAAGTTTATACGTCTAAACCTCCAGGTCTCTAAGACTGTCATTATTGGATTTTCTGTGTAACATATTTAAGTTGCCTTCTTTCTGTGCTGTGAATTACAGGTAAAGTAACTTTTCAAAATGAAATTGTTTTATTGATGAACGGTATTTTTTTTCTAATATATTATATTCTAAGTGACACAACAAAAAATACATAGAAGTCAACTGTCTCATGGTGATTGCAAATCCGTGGTACTCTGTATTGAAAGAACCTAAAATCCAAATGAAAAATGTATTAAGGACCCAATTTGAATCTATTTTCAAAGTGTATACTGCTGTTAGAAGTCGTGTTAGAGTCTGTACAAAGTTGCTAAAGGAATTCCTGCTCTCTAGAAGAGTTGATTTATCAAACTCAGGTTTCAGTGGTGTAGAAGGCTACAAACATTGCAAGACTGGTTTGAAAAGGACATTGGAAAAAGCGAGTGCCTGGGAGATTATTAATGGAATACCTGATTCTTGCTACTTGTTCACTGTCATGTGGGTCAGTAGAAGCCGCTTTCTGACTGCTGTTGGGCATATTTGAAAGGAGGTGTTCCTGAACAGTTTATATATGATAAGAAATTGCCTCCAAGTTGGTGCCTTTGCTTATAATTTCAGAAAAAAGCGAGGATCCAGTTTGTATAATAATAAAACTACCTTGCTACCCTTTGAGGTATGCATTGGGGAACAATATAAAGAAAATCACTTGAAGCCTGACTGGCCCTGAAGACTTCCCTCCAGATTACTTCATCTACTCCATGAGTCAAAAATGTCAATTCATTAAAGAATCTTCTTTAATAGAATTTGTTCCACATGAAATTCTTCACGATATATTTGAATTCCGCAGATTATTGTGATTATACCAGAATGCTGTGGGCCAGGCAATTGTTTGCTTTCTGGTATTTCACATTCTTCACAAGACCAAGACTAAAACTGAAGCTCTAAGTATATAAACTTTTTAGCTTTTATGACTAAGTCATTATCTTCACTCTTACTTATTTATGCCACTTCAGTAGGTTAGCTGCTTTTTCTTTCTGTAACTTAATCATGGCTCCCATTTGAGTCTGGCAAATATATTTAAGCTCTTCATAACCTGTAAATCAGAGTAATACCTGAATCCCTTCCAAAGCATATATGCACTAGAGAATGTATAGAGATGGCATATGAGTGATGAGTTAGTTATTACTGAACATAAACAAGAATAGTCAATAGTTGACACTTCGTAAAACTCAACAAATACTAACATATTAGCAATAAGTATTTCAAAAGAAAATGTTATAATGTTATTTCAGAAAGCATATATTAAAACACTGGTGACTTTTTAAAATCTATATTTGAAAACTCATTGAAGCAATCTGTATAATTAAAGCTATGCTTTGTAAACGAAAGTTGTGGTTCTGGTTTTTTTCTGTATGTCCTGTATGTTGTTTTAAAAAAGATAATGAAAATTCTTCTGGAATCTCTGCCATTCATGTTTCTCCAAAACTAGTTATGCTGAAGTTGCATCAGTCTGCTAGCTGAAGGGGAGGGTTTTGAAAATAGGGATTTGGAGTTTAACCTAAGCCATGTTAGCATTCTGGCTGGAGGAGAACTGATCATCCCATAGCTGCTAGTCTAACAAGAAAATTTAAGGAAGACTGGAATTAATGAGGACTGTACGTTTGATACTTTTGAAATTATCTTAACCTATGTAAGGAAGTAGCACAATATAACAAGTTCACTTGAGACGCAGTAATTTATTTATTTAAGGAATAATCAAGGTTAGCAAAACATATTTAAGGAGGTGTTACTTCCATTGCTTATCATTTTGAAGGAGCTGTATGTGTAAAGTAATTTTAAGTCTGAAAAACCTGAAATCAATTGTCATTTACACCACTACAGATGTGTTTTTATGTGGAATGAAAAAGAATGCCTCTGGCCTACTGTCACATGTTAAAATGGAGGATAATTAATTGGTAGTGACATATGTCACAGCATACAATTTCATTAGTAGTCATGGAGAATTGAATTGCTAAAGCCTTGTATGTTTTTTTCAGGGTAGCCGTTAGCTTTGGAATATAGCAGTCTTGGTAGGCTTGCAAAAACGTTAAGGAAAACCTTGCCACTTTGTCTCCTCTCCTAATTGAGTGGTGGCACACTGCACAGTAGGAATCCAAGCATCTAAACTGTGAGGAACTAGGGTAAAAGAAGCGGAGTATGGCTGCCAGTGCACTTTTTACCTTCAGTGCATCAGCAGCCATAATTCTTCCACTGCCTTTGGAACTTCTGACCACATAAAGCTCCTCTGTTCCTGCCAGTCTCATCTGCTAAACAGATCCTTGTACTCTTAGGTTGTAGCCAAATTCAATCCAAGATGTTTCAGCTTAGGACACATGCTGACACAAGAGGCTATTAAGTATGGGAAGGTTGGTTTGAGACTGAATTATGTCAGCTGTGCTTGTCCTCCTTGATCTACAGCAGTTTTCTAGTGAGATGGTGCTAACCCAGAAAGTTGGAAAGTCCTTAACCGCAAGCTAAATACTATAAGCAGACAATATTCCAACTTGCTCATTATTTGCCATCTGTTTTGGAATAGAAGATGGAGGGAGTATTTCAACTTGGCTGCATAGTAATCAGATATACATAATACTTTCAAGGGAAGAAGTCCATTTTTAAGTGACTTATTTTTAAAAAGCTTCCAACGGTAATGAACTTTTAAAAAATGCTGTATACGTTAAGATATGTCAGTCATACTACCCCTAATACACCCAAGTTTTACGTGGATTTACAATCATCATCTGGGGCAATATTACAATTTGTAGGCACAAGAAGTACCTTGGCTTGTTGCTGGATAACTGTTGGATGCGTCTGTTAATACTCATTATGTACTATTAGCAAATTACGTACTTGATGTTTAAACAATTTTTTGATGTTGTTTTTTTTACCACATCACCATCTTTCTCATTTTGCAGGTGAACTGGAGTGCAGAATATATAAAGGTTGGTTTCTTGAATATATTACAGACATTTTAAATGCATGTAAGTTCTTGAAGACTAGATGCGTATCTGTATTTTTTAAGTGAAACCTCCAACAACTGACAAAGGCAAAAACAACATCTGGACATGATAATAGCTTTATAGTGAAGTCCTAGTTTGCATTCTTAATCATTAATCTGTTCCCTCTCTACTCTCCTGTTCAGCTACTTTTGAAAAGAAAATTGATGGTTCTTTTTCCAAGCTGGGTCTCATCCTCTCTCTTGTTTTTCTTTCCAGTGTGTGTTATGTGTACACCAGCGCATAAGCGTATAGTTTGACATTCTGTGAAATAAAGTCATAACAAGCTATAGCCTCTACTTGGAAAAAGAGAACATCACTAAGGTCAGCACTTTAAGTTACTTTCCATAATGCTACATAGCAAGAAACTGAAGTTCATCATGGTCTTAAGCTTTCTTTTCTACAGTTTTATCTCTGAAAAGCTGATAGAAGGTTACAGCATTACAATGGATTTATCTGCAAAACAGAGTATGTATTTTCTTACCCTTAAGAAAGTTTGGCAACCTGTTGTCTGAGACTGCAGGTAAAATGCCTGCAGTAGTGTCCAAAGCATTAATTCCCCTGATCCTTCATGTGATGGTGTCTCCATTCAGCCCCTTTACAGGCAAAACAGGAACCGCCACATTAGC